TCTCACACTTCATTTTGTGACCTTTGGCCAAAACTTTGTGGCACTGCATTGACCGCTTCACAAGCCTGAAAATTTTAGGAGTATCAGCATGCAACTCCCTGAGGCCCTTGGCAAGATTCTATATAAAGGGGCTCTCGTACCTGATCTGGGCCCGCCTACCTGATCTGTGAGGATAGTTTATCTTCTCATCAAAGGAGGGAGTCGGGGCCCTGCGTAACTTGCACAGTGAGTATATAGGGCAATGCGCACATACACACACTGATTGTCACTTCCTCCTGGTGTTTCACATTATAAACGATAATGACTTTTTTTTAAAGAGGGGGCAAACCTAACTGATTGACTTTTCCCAGATCTAATGGTGTTTGTTCCTCCCCAGTGGACTTCTTTAGCAAGTTTAGTCTTTAAGTTTTTGAGGCGTTGTTTATTTATAATCTGCTTTAGCTTTTCCAACTTTTTGAACACAGGTGTTATAATAATAATGGTCCAGAATAATGTGAAATTGCACATTTTTTTATTAGAAAACATCAAAGCTTCTTAGGGGAGGACCCCAACCCCATGAAGCACACACAGACCATCGGGCAGTTTGGCGATAGTACTAGCATGGTTGCTGAGAAAACAGGTTTCCCCACATGGCACATCAGATGCCAGCAGATGACCTTTCAGTAGCCTTAGAGTGTGCTAGGTTTGCATGTCTTTTTTTGATTTTGAGTTCATTTGTTTCCGCTGCACTGACGCCTGCCAAGCTCCCACAGCATCTCTGTTGTACAGCACTTGCCAGCTCTGACACCACCTCTCCTGTTTGACTTGGCCTCAGAGTCAGAAATGCAAAGATTGCATTTTTGAGAAGAATCCCTCAGTGCTCTCGGTTTGTGTAACTGAGTGAAGATGTTGATGTACCAGCAGTTCTAGAGACCTAGAGGACCCAGTCATATTGATATGCTTCATAAACTTCAAACATTTGATCTATTGACAGGCATTGATGTCGTTTATGCATTTGTGATTTTTGCATTATTTCCTATTTAATTGAATTTTGGCGATTTTATAAGGAGACAAAATAAGGAGAAAAATGTACAGATGACTAAACAAGCAGTACACATGAAAATTGTAAGGGTGAATCATGGCATATTTAATGTTCCCATGTGTTTGACCGTGAGCCTTGCAAGACTAAAAAAAGTGGATTATTCAGTTAAAATTTGTTGGCAAAATTTTCCAATGTCTTGGCAATGTCTTCCAGAACCTCCCACTCTTCATTATTCAACATTTGCTCCAGTTGTGGAGGGTTATATTTAGAAGTGTTGTTGGGGAAACAACACACAATTTATACCAAATGTAGTCAGCAGCTTATTCCTCTGATTCGAATGTATTACAGCTCGTGACATTTAAAACATTATAGACCACAAACCTTTGTCTTAATTACTCCTGTCCTGTCATCGTTTATGTCAGTTCCCTTGACTCATCCTCATCCCTTGTCTCAATTTTCCCTTGCTGTCTGTTTCCTCCTTCACCTCTACATACACATTCAGCATTCATTTAAACAGCCCATTTATTTGTCCATTAAAATATGATGCCATTATTATTCGCTTCCTTGGAGTGTTCACTTCCAGCATCTTCAGTTTGAAATGTCCATATGTTTCTCTTATTGCTGTCTTTACCTGCTGTTATGCACCTGATTCTCACTACGATGGCACAGGAATGCATAACTGTCTTGCTCATTACCTACCTACCTCCAGTGTATTATCATTTTCCTGTCTTTGCCTTGCTGGGTTAATGTGGTCTGATACCATTACAACATGGATGCATAATGACATCCCAAACCTGTCCCAAGCAGGTGCATTTCATTTCTGTCCGCTTGTGAAATTAGCAAATAAGAGTCAACACAAAACTTTGTCTTGGAGCATGCGCACATAGTTAGCGAAAATGTATTCTCACAGCTTCAGAATAAAACCATTCTTGATGTTTTGAAGGGACATATCAGGCAGTGCAACAGTGTGGCTCCCCTATTTGTTTCTATAGGTTTTTGATGACAATGGAGTTCTATGGCACAAAGGCATGTGCTGTATCAGGCTGGGAGTACACAGAAAACACTTGTTAGCAGGATAAATTCATTGTTGGTTTTGGTCACACAAATATTTCCAACGTTAGCCTTTGACCAATGCAAAGAGCGATTCCTGTGCTGCTGCACTTAGACCATTGATCAAATCACTATTTCATGCTCCCAAAGTTGACTCTAAAAACATAAATGCAGGTTAATGAGAACATCTGTATCGTGTGATTGACTTCAGCATTCAGAAAGCTGGAGGCAACAGAATGTTGGTTTCTTCATATACGTGTTACACAGCACGCTGCCAGGTCTGTAACTTTAACTTTTAACTGTAACATTTGTCATCACTTCTGCAGAGCGTTGTTTTTCCTTCCACATCACAATGTAAAGCTGGCATTTTGAGGTTATTTTCAAAAAAGCACCATGATGGGTGTGAAAACATATTCTTAGTGCAAATAGAAGGGCAGAACTTGGAGAAAAAGATGCCTCTTCAGTGTTTGCAGGCTTAGTGTGGACATGGCCTTTACTGGCAGTTGTGGGCATCGGCCCCTTGTAATATGATGTTCCATTAGATTGCATCAGCCAGATTTAGAGCTTGTGTTTTTCGCTTTCTGCATCAGTTTTTTCTTCCCTCTGTCCTTAGTTGTTGGTAAATTGGAGGGCTTGGGTCTAGACTGAGCTGCATAAAGCATTGGTCTTATGTTGTGTCAGAACGTCCTGATCAACCAATTAATAAACGGTTGCGCAAATGTTTGAAAAAATCAAGTACTATGTATTTAAAGCAAATTTGTTAAGGCCCAGTTTCTCTGCCACAGATTGCAGGATTTTTTTTCATGGCCAGAAGGGAGAGTGACTCACACTCATCCGCCCTCACATTCAGAGAGTGTGAGTGCTTATGAGGAGCAAGCGGCTTGTTTGTGTGACAGTGATGTGTTCAGATAAGACATCAGAGGTGTGGTGACTGTCTATTTTCTGTCCTGCATCTTTATCTGCTGCTCCTGGACACGCACAACTCACCCACTGAACACGTTGTGTGGTTGTATTGTATCTTTTATTCAGCAGTAACCTTGCTGCATACTTGGAAACACCAATGTTATTTTGCTTAGTTAAGCCAAATTGGACACACCAAGCTAACATCCAACCTTTCATTTTTCTTCTGTAATAGTTTTTTTTGGTCAATGTTTGTACATTATCCACTTTTATACTATACTATTATATGTTCCTTCTGTCACAATACCAGTCACTACTCATTAGGGCGCAGGTATTTATTATTTTAGTAATCGAGTATTTTACAGATTATTCCATCAATTCATCGAGTAATTGGATGATTCGCTTGGCGCCCCCAGTACCAGGATCAGCTGTGTAACTTATATCACTGTACAGTCCAAACTCACAGACTAACCAATTGAATAACAATAACAACAAAAAGCCCGGTTATACATTTACAACTAAGAATTGTGCCATGCCTTTGCTAGCCTTCATCTCAACCAGCAGTGATTTACGTTAAATGTTAATGTTACCTTGTTTCAGGTCCAATACATTGACTCGATGCGTAGACTGGATGCTTTCTGCTCAGATGCTGAAGCATTGCTGTCGTGCTGTTGTAGTAGGCTAGTTCCGTTTTACAGTAGCCACACTATACAGAGTTGTGATCCCATACTTTGGACAAAGTGTCCAGACCAGAGAAATACAACAGAAAGTCTGTTGTATTTCTCTGGCCTGTCTCTTCTTTGTCCCTCACTGTTTTCTCTATTCCTCCATTTTGCAATCCGTGCTATCAAATCACGTCGTCTTCACTTGTCCAAAGCGTAAGCACGTTGTGCGACAGTTATAATCTTCGCGTGAAACAGTGCACTGTATGTAGTAATACGGATTGCTTTTTAGTAACAGAGTTACTCGAGTTTCAGCCCTCCTGCTCCACACAGCATGTCTCTAGCTCAATGTAACGCAGATACTAGCAGTGAGGAGGGAATGCTAAAACAATGTAAAGAGTGAACAGTTGAAATTTGTTTGTTGTCTTTGGTTCCAACTAGTATTTACTGTAGTGTTTTTGCATTCCGCTTTGCAGCAATCGCTTTGCAGCAATCGCTTTGCAACGGTCTCCCTTACAGCACCCAAAATACCCCAAGACAAAGAGGCAAATCATAATAATACAACTCCTTGGTTTGTATAAATTACAAAATGTATACCCCTTAAAGAGCTGCATGTGCATTACTTATCATACTGTCTAGTCTTTGAATACTTGAAAGGTAAAAATGGTGTTTACTATGTTGGCCCCGGAGATTGTTGCAGTAAAAACTGTATGTTAGCACACTTTACCTTTTTTATAATAGTAATTTTATCATTATTTTTTATACATAATAGCAAATGAGTGTTGTAGGAAATGTGTTTTATGAATACACTCTTGAAGTTGTGTAGGTGTGTGTGTGCATGCATATGTGTTGTCTTAAAGAATGAAAACATAAACTTCAAGGTCCAGATTTTACACTCTTACACTAGTTTGTGTCTGTGTGTTGGTGTTAAACAACTAAAAATGGCAGTTTGGGCAAACTGCCAGCATTGCAAAGCTCATGACGTGTAGTTTTTGTTTAGACTGTGTCTCTGTCTCAGAGGTGTTGATTCAGATCTATGGTGAATATGAAGCTGTCCTTTTGTGTTGTTGAAGTAATGCTTTTCATCTGTTGGAATCGTTGAAAACAAAATTGTAATTCTAACTCACTGTAAGACCGCATTTAAAGCGGAAAACAAAGCTGGCATGTGTCAGTTTGTTTAATTAGTCTCTATGTACCTGCCTTTTGTAAGTAAATTCAAATCTCTTTTGTTATGTGGGGTTTTAGTTCTTCATTCAACCTCTTGCAAATATGTTCACATTGGCAAGTCATTTTAATAAGTCAATTAATTTGAATATAAAATATTTTTTGCCAGGTAGCAGGGCTCACCTTGTCTCTCTGTGCTTCAGTCTCTTCCATCGCTGGAGTTTGCAGGTTACAAATGCTGGCTAAGCTGTTTGTGGCTGTTAGGCTGTCTAGACGAAGCAACATCTCACCTGACCATCCTGAGCATCTGCCCTATGCTCCAGTGAGATGAATACCCTGTGCTTGGCAGGACTATCCCCCATCAGTGGACAACAGCTCACCTAATGGATACTCTGCTCACTCCTTACTTTCATGTTCCACTCAAATCTAATTCAGGGGATTTAGTAAGGAACATAGAAGCCAGAAGCAGTTTTCTGTTTGCAGTGAGTTTGTGAAAAAATAAATAAATAATGATGTGATTATTGAAGAGTCACTATTTCTACCTCCTTAAATGTCTTAAATGCTCTGTCTTTCTCTGTTTTATATCATTCAATATCTTCAGACTTTGTGATTTCTGCCTGTTCCTCGGACAAAATAAGTAATTTAAAAATGTTGCCTTGTCATTAGTATTTTAGAACTTACTCTATTTGTGTAAAATATGATAAATAGATAATAAATAAGGGGAAATCATTGATCATAGTCCCAGCCCTAGCCCTGGTATTTCATTGATACTGGTTAAGAGCAGTACCAGTTTAGCTGTAGAATTAAGTAGAATTGGCGCATCCCTTTTTAAAAAGCTCCCATTAACATTGTAATGTGACTCCCAATTCCAATTTATAAATTCCATGCAATTCCGCTTTGATATGGAAATGACATTTTGAAGTGCGGATTGAATTAAGTCTAGGGCTGTACATAACGATTATTTTTCAAGTCGATAATTCTAACGACTAATTTTGTATATTCTAAAGAAAATAAAAGTTGCCTATTACTCTATTAACATACCAATTTATCCAAAATAAATATCAAAAACATGTCTAATCAATGAATAAATACTTTATTCAATTATCCTGATGAAGCACATTAGAATAATGACAATAGTAGCATATCTTAAAATGAATCCAATTTCCATGTAATTTATGTGTTGTAATAATAACAATAACAGACATTAATTAGGCCACTTTAATTCAAACTTTAAATGCTTCTGACGTGGATTTATTTCAATATTGAGTAATTCAGTATGATAATCAAATGTATTTCTGCATAAGTGTGGGACAAAGAAACCAACTGAAACGATTGACAGACTGTGCAAACAGTCACAGACCGTCTGTACCATTAGATTCAGCTGTTTTTTCGCTCATTGGTGGCCGATAAATAAACAGAAATAAGAAACGGCCGAACGTTAGATGACATACAGTGTAATGTTATGTTACCATGACAGCAGTGGGCCAAAATTTTAACATGAAGGCGATGAAGAAATACTTAGAAAATACACTTTAACGGACTACGTGTCCTCGTGCTGATAATGTGCCGTGCTTGTGTGGAGACAGAAAGTAAACACGATTTGCGGTGTTGCCGTCAGTGCTCCGGGATACTTTCGCTTCATGTGTTCATGCTGCTTCACGTATTTGTGGACAGCAGTTGTGCTGCAATGAAGCTATTTCCAATTCACAGAGCTCACGGAGCAGCTCTTTGTTGAGTGTCTGTCTGAAATACTCCCAAACTTTAGACGTCGAAGGCGAGGTCTTGTAGACAGAATCCAGGAGATGTTGCTGTGGATGCTGCTAAAACTGTCATTTTGATGTGGTTGAATGCCAGAATTGGACCAGTAAATTATCCTGCTTATGCCGGTCACACACAGTAAAAAGCAGAGGAAGGAATTTATACTCTCTCATAAATAAACAAGTGACATGACAACATGGAAATTGATGGATCTATGCTCCATTTCCAAGATATGATAAAGCCAGAATATATTTTTTATGTACTACGTTTGCACCTTGTTCTTATAATGGAAAATATTGTCTAACGTTGGCTCCTTTTGGCACTTGTGGGAGGTTTTTTTCACCTGGCTTTGCTGTCATGTAGATCATGAGCTTGGTTCGGCTGTCCCTCTTGTACTGGTGTGATGTAGAGCACCGGACCCTGAATAAGCTGAAATAAACAATAGGAAGTCTAATTTGTTATCTGTCTCTCTCCCCTGAGTTTGATAGTCCAGTTTTTAAGCCCAGAGTGGAATACTACGTTTTGGCATCAGCAAATGGTTGCCACCCCACTGTCATGAATTAAAGTGGCAAAGCCACTAGTCAGTTTCTTAAATCCTGTATGTGTTTGTATGTTTGCTCCCACAAACAGGTCATTGAGTTCAGCCAAGGTGTTAGTATCAGACGTTTACACCAACTCGTTGTTTTTCTTTCAGACCAGTGAAGCTCCAGTTTCATCATCTAGCTGTACTTTTTCCCCTGCAGAATGACTTGACTGTGACCTCATGCTTAGTTCACCTGTGCTCCAGTTGGCATTTTATTCTCAAACTTTCCAATGCTGTGCCTCACATAGCCAACTGGGGTGAGCTGCAGAGAAACGAGGTCCTGCATGGCAGTGGAAAAAAAGCACAGCACCTGTCACAGAAGCCTGAGGGCAACAGAGGGGGAAAAAAATAAAATAAAATAATAAAAAATTATATATTTATTTATTTGTAGTTTGTATGCTTTGTTGGAGCTGCTCTTATGTCCACTCTTAAATAGCAGTGTTGCAAACTGATCTGCAACCAGAAAGTGGTATAAACTCCCTAAATACAGAATTATTTCGTACATTACATTTATTCATTTAGCTGACTCTTTTATCCAAAGTGACTTACAATTGCTATACATGTCAGAGGTCACATGTCTCTGGAGCAACTAGGGGTTAAGTGTCTTGCTCAGGGACACAATGGTGGATGGGTCACAGTGGGGTATTGAACCCGTGTCTCTCACACCAAAGGCATAGTTTTATCCATTGCGCCATCACCACCCCATTGTAGCATACAGTACAAATCCTAGTACTGTACAGTAAGGAGGGGTATTGGTAGAATTTTAGATAGATAGTGATCTTAATTGCTGTTCACTGGAAAGTTTGGAGAATTAAATAGCGTCTGTACTTGTGTCTGTGACCTAGACCGCTGGCTGTCTACATTTGGTAGGCTTATAGGAAAACAGCAAGCTGTCTCCTCTAAATGAAGGGTGTGTGTGTTTTAAAAGCAGTGACTCAACACATGCGCAAATGTAGTTGTTTCTAAGATGTGCAACACATCTAATTTAAGGAAGCATTTGAATGAGCATAACATTCTTCAAGAGCAGAGTGGCTTCATTTTGACTGTAAGAAGACAATCAGACAATCACGTCCAGTGCATGAAAAACATTTAAATGGATGGCAGCTGTGACCTCCCCCGAGCTTTTTTTATTCCAGTTCTTGCAAATTTGGAGCAGCTCCTGATTTAATAATAGAAACTAGTTACCGATATCTGCTGTCTCAGGTTGTCGATAATGATTGTGCCTTGTTTATATGTAAGCTAACAATTTTTATATATATATATACATACACAGACACACAATAAGCTGTTTGACAAAATACAGGTGAATGAATGTGGTCGTGGTCAGGGTCAATTGAAGTCAGCAAGATATGTTCCCACTTTTGGCACAGACCAGACGTTAAAGACAAAACATCACAGTGGAGCGCATTCTTGTTGCTGTGAAACATAAGGTGGATAGCAACTGCCTTGTGTCCTGCCCACTTTCATAGTTTGAGAATGGTAGGGGGTGTGTGTGTGTGAGAGAGAGAGTGGATGGGAGATCTGGTGTGTCCAATGGAGCTGGATCTGTACGTGATCAGGAATGAGATGAGGCAGATCTGCTCCTCACCTGTCCTGTAGAGAGGGGTAATACATACAGACACACCCACACACAGTATATCAAGGCAAGCCTGGCCCGAGTGCTGGCGGGATAATCTGATGAATATCCCTAGCAGCATGTGTGCCCACCTGTTAGTACAGCCCCTAGTTCCCACTTCAATCACTACCACATTACTTGGGGGGGTGGGGGGTGTAATTGGTGTGGATTTGTGGATGAGTGTGTAAGCGTGGCTCTAGGAATGTAAAGCTAGCAAGTATGAAACCGTTTACTGTTGAGGGGGGGAAACTATAGGAGAGTATAGGGTAAAGTGATGCATGTGGCATTGCTAATTGAACCTTATAGATTTGGAGATGTGGAGGTTGTATTCTCAAACATATGCCACATATATTGCCTTTGCCAGAAGCTCATACAGGTATATGTTAGGGTTGAGGCATGTGTGATTGAGTATGAACAAGGAGGTCTAGTGTTCCCAAGACCAAAGAACCTTCTAGGGTTTCTCCACAACGCTGTGTATGACCATATCTAGGCCAGCCAAACCACTGAGCTACTCACTGCTAGTTCTCTGGAATGTGACTAAAGCAGACACTGTTTCACTCCATAACCGAAATTTCCAAACACCAAGAAGCAGGTCTTACTCCTGGTGGTATGGTTTTAGACACCAGCAGCTGAGTTGTATAAATAATCATTATGGTGCTGGTGAGGATGGCGGGTCAGTATGGTTGCTGACCAGCTGCTTTCCCTCATGTGTTTTCTTTTCAGAGAGCCTTTTTCTGGCCGGGCTGGTTGTCCCAAGCCAGCTCAAGAAGGGAAAGAAATGGGATACTGCACAAGTTGTTGTTTTGCGCAAAATCCACCAACACCGAAACAATGTAATGTTATAGGCGTTCTAAAATAGTGTCGTTTCTGATGCATGGAAACTGTGGTATGTAACTGATCGGAGTTTGCTAACATTCAGCTTATATAGCTCAGCAGGTCAGGCAAGCAGAGTTGATGGTAGGGTTGGGCCATAGACGATGCCTTCGTCTATCGGCTATGGCTGACAGATGGTCGATGGTTGAGCAGGCCATTGTGATTGTAAAACCTGCCCCCCCCCCCCGGCAAAAAAATCGAAGTCGCCTAAAAAACAGAACTCATTTTTCCGTATTTTTCCACACGTGATCCGTTATCATGGTAGCAGGTGACCGCTGGACCACGACATGTAACGTCATAGGCTACCAAGCTTTAAAGCCTAGTTTACACTACGCGATTTTTAGCCCGATTTGCCGCTCCCGAGCTCATTATATGTGAACTACACAACACATCAAAACGGCTCCCAGACACATTTCAGACACATCCACGCCGACGTCTGCCGTATCTAGCATACGAAATATCTGGAGGAGTCGGCCAACTTGACATTCCACATCCAGCCAATGAGAGCAGGCAGCTGGCAAAGCAGGCAGCTACTTTTTCACCACAAAACACTTTTTACTCACCTCCAGCTCTCTCTGTAGCTCAAACGATCTCTGCTACCTGCGTCTGCTAATCCATTCTTTGAGTTTACTGAGAACCCTGACAGCAGCAAGGAGGTTGGATAGATGGAGAAGTGGGAAGTGATG